GGCAAGGAGCTCAGCTACTTTGTCCGGCCCAGCACCACGAATGGATGTCTTTATGCTGGAGAGTGCCTCTTTGTGCTCCACACTATCCGTGGGCAACACCACAATGTGGCAGGTATCTCTTCCCACCAACCCAGAGGCATCGGTTGCAGTAACACGAATCTCATACAGGCGCTCATTGGTACTAGAGCTGGAGTAGCAAAGGCTGTCTCTGCTCTTGCACCTATGGGAGGGGGGGGGGTGGTGGTCATCAGACTGGCTCTTACATTTTAAAATTGGGTTGTGAAAGGAATTCCATGACAATACACTTACGTTGTTGGGGCAACCAGAATATTGGCCTCGTTGGAATCTGATTCCACCAATACACAGCTGGTCTTCTCATCCCATTGGTTAGTGACGACAGATACATCAACATCAACAGATTTGGAGCAGTCATCCTGTGAAAGAAGCACAGTGCAAAAGGTTAGCATAGAAGCAAAAACAATACAAGATGATCAAAAGTCCAGAAAGAAGCCAACCTACTTGAACAGTGTAAGAGAAGGTGCTATCCAAGAGACCACCAGTCCCCTGATCAGACAGCAGCAGGGTCTTGCCATCATGGGATACAAAAGCAACAGAGGAATCCAAGGAAAAACCACAGCTCACAGTGGGTGCTTTGTTGTCCACTGCAACTTTGACTGCCGTGGCATTGCCCACAGATTCTTCCTTAACGGGCAGGAGCTGAAACACTGCCTCACAACTTGAAACATCAACCTCCATGATATCCAGCTTGGCCCCATCTTCTTGCAAACTGAGAGAGTCATGAAGGAACTGGATTGCTTGATCAGTAGACTGAAAGATTCTACCGGGGACACTGAGTTGACTGGTCACATGGTCTTTCTCCCATCCAAGCGAAGGAGGGACATAGACTTCTTGCGTGTCAATGTCATCTAGGCCTTCAGTCATGTCAGTCTCCAAAAGGCTGGTTCCAAGCTTTCGCCTTGACCCACTAGTGCCACTTTTGATGAGTTTGTAGACAGCTGCCAACTCTGTTTGGATCTTGCCAACTTCAGTATTAACTGTAGTCAAGCTAGCCTGTAGGCCACCTGTTTTAGCAGCCACATTGTCATCAACAGCTTTCATATTCTTGTAAAGCACTTTGGTGTTTTCCAAAATCACATACATCTGCCTGTCACTAATCTGTGCATTGCCATATTGTTGATTGGCAATTGCTACGGCCTAAGACACCCAACGGTTGTCAGTGTGCCCACACGAGCATTGATTTCAAGCAGGACTGGTCAAACTTACTTGCTCGCCAAGCCAAAAGGACAAGAAGGAAATGACTACCAAGACGTACCAAGCAATTAAGCAGGGTATCTTCAAGAAATCCCAGGGCATGGCCTCACAGGTAACTTTGGCTTCCTTGATTGCCTCCCAAACCTTTGAAGCAGTATTGGTAATTGTTTCCAGGGCAAGAATGCTTCGAATCCAGGTGTTGAAGTAGTCATCTCCATTTTCAGCTACGGAGGATCATCAGGGTGAGAAAGACTGATTGTGAAGCCAAAGTGTCAAGAGATGCATAGACTCACGCTCTGCTGGTGCCACCAGTGCTGTTCCTTCTGGCAACTCTGCCAATTGAGCAACTTTAGGTTTGTTTGCATCTAGAGCTTCAAAATTTGTATTGTACCTTCACCATGACAAACTTGGAGAATGAGCAACACTCTGTGGCAGGAGTAACTTCTACAACAAGTGCTCACCTGAGGTACTGGATATCCTCACACACTCCATAAAGGTCAGGATCTCTTGATTCTGCCCCAAAATACTCCTTGAATCTTCCACATTCATCAACACTAGTGACATCCTTCAGTTCTGGGGAGTCTAACAAAAACCCTTTGTATGTAGTCTTGTTGTTTTCTCTTGCCCATTGAACTTCATCTGCAACACATTGTTTCAAGAGACTACAGTCGGTGGGCTTTGAGCAGTAGGTTCCGGAGTACACTGCACAGGACTCTGGAAAACATGTGGGAGTGCAAGAGTTTATGAGCAACGCTATCCAGAGTTGTGTGCCCTGCAGATGTTGAATGAATGAATCTTACCCTTTGAGAACCCACCAAGGCCCTTGGCCACATGCTTGCAAGCTGCTTCAGTTTCTCTGCATTCAAACTGAACACAAGCACAAGTGAGAGTCAAATCATGTTGAGGAGGACCATTCCAGTCAACTTACACTTGTTCCAAACAGCTTCCCCTCTCGTTCCCAAGGTTGATCCAGGCAGCAGTAGCCAGGGGCATCCTTCTTGGTCTCTGCATAGGCACACACCAATCCTACACTGGTCTTTGGACCTAGCAGCAGGGTAACTGCATCGTCCATGTCAAAGCTCCCCAACTCATAGATGGAGCTCTTGATGCTCTGTGTCTTGATCCCGTCACCATCTGCAACTCCTGTAGAAGGGTGCACATTGTTTACAAATTTCACTTTCCCACAGAGGTCCTTTTCATCGATTTTCACTGTGCAATCCCAGTTGCTGTAGCCATTGCCAACAGCTGAAATCCAATCACAATCCCAAACTATCTTTTCTGGGTAAGTCCTCTTCAGAGCACCTGTGTTTGTGATGTTGAAGTTACTATTTTCCAAGATTTCCTTGAAGTAGGCATTAGTCTTGTTGTAGCACTCTCCCACAAAGTACTCATTGTTAATGATGTCAATTGATTCCTATTGCAAAAGTATTCAGTGTGAGATGATGCTGAACCAAGATGGAAAACCAATTCCAGGCACAGCAACCCAAGATCTCGAGACTTACAAACTTGAAGAATGATTCAACTTGAATTGGAAAGTTGGGCTGACCATATTTGTCAAAGTTCTTCAAATCTGAAGTAGCACTTGAGTCAACTTTTGGTTGGATGGGAACACGAGCTAGGCCTTTCTTGTCAAACAGGACAGGATCTCCTATAGTGTTAGCACACAGAGACATGTCCTCGAACAAATGGTATGCCACATTAGACCCAACATGCTTCTTGATTTGTTCCAGCTTGATGTACTTTGCTGTGCCCTCGGCTGAACAAATTTCCCGCCAGGTTGGACCTTTGTACTGCATGCAGCAAACGCAGTTGCATGTCAGACAACAGGAAATCAATGGTCCTGGATTCCCCAGCAACAGCTTTTACACTAAAAATCGGTACTGACCTGGTCATAGTAAGTTTTATTGTAGAGCTCTACCATCTCAGATCTGGACATGGGTGGGAAAGGTGGTGTGGTGAGGGCAACAGAAATGATGATATGTATAAACCCAAGATATAACAACAACACTTACTGGTGCATCTCTCTCAGAAAGGTGGCACAGTTAGTCTGATTCAGGCCATTGTCATCAATTGCCTTCACAGCATCCCTGACACTCTCCAACTTCGTGAAGAAGTCAAAATCGGTTGACTGTTTTGGCATCTTTTTGTCATCAATCTCTCCCTCATCATTGACATAGTCACCATCTGGTAGGAAACAAGAAAGAGTTAAATAGGGATTAAAAAACAGGTTCAGAGTGAGAGATAATATTGTCAAATCAGCGGGAAAGCGAGCAAAACCATATGAAATCAGGGAAGTCTTACAAAAGTGTGCAACAAAGTCATAGAGAGAGAACTCTTTCACACAGGAAACAGTTTTTTCACAGGTTTCTTTCATAGTTTCAGCAGTGCTATTTTCCAGTCTACGGCCATGCATGGCAAAGCTTGGCGACAAGCGTTCAAGTATGTGATCCAAATGGGTGTGGTCACCCTTGGCAATCTTGTCATGAATGTTAAAATGACGGCGAAGCTTGGAATGAAAGCGATATTTCTTTGGAATCTGTGAGGTCAAACTCCCACTGTAGCTGCCAGTGCCATCATTGTAGCTAGCTTCCTCATCAAACAAGCGGCGTTGGGCACTGGCCTTTGTGGTGGCTTCCTTCGCATCAATTGCTACCGTTTGTGCCTTTTCTAGCTCGTGAGAAACCTGTTGCATGAGCATCTGGATTTCAACAGATGCCATCTCGGACTCTGGTGCCTTCTGGAGGTCATGGACAGCATTCTGGAGCATCGTGGTAGCCCTTGCAAACTTATCCATTTGATCCTCCATGGTGACTTTTTCCACTGGCATGCTCTTCTGCACCTGCAAGAGTTTCTTGACATCATTAATGCCCTCCATCACTTCATAGATGGCAGTAGAATACTCCTGAATGCCACCCTGCATCATCAGAATTGTAACAGAAGCAAGTCAAGCGAGTCTGTGAGTTGCAAGTTGCAACAACACATTTAGGGCGGGCCAACTGAATTAAATCACTATTGGCAATTTCATTTCCTGACCTTGCCATCATCGAGAGGTGGTAGCTCCACTGTAACTTGCTTTAGGCTGTTAACATTGAGACCCTCAACTTTGAGGTCATTGCCGCTTAGGGCTGTTTTGGCCAAGATTGGGCTGGCACAGCCCATTGCTCCGACGAGCCAAAGAATGAAACTCGTCTTCATGCTTGAACCTCCAACAATCAACAGCAGAGGGATAGACACAGATATTGGGAAATTTATGGGACAGATCCATTGAGGTGGAGGAAACGACGACCTTGACGAATTCATGCCAGGTTCGGTTGGACAACAATAACGGGTGCTGGACGGCAAAAAAGATCTGCAGTCATTGGTATAAGATTTAGCAATTAGCTCTTCGGCGTAGTCACAGAAAGTCTTCCTGTGTTGGCATGCGCGAATTGCTTCTCAGAGAGTTAAAGTAAGTGTTCTAAGACCAGCTTAATCAATAGTCACGACAGCCAACTTCGCATGGAGGGCGTTTCGATCTCTCCTCGGTTGTCGTTATTGCTTTTGTGTCCATGTCCATGGTTAACTCGGGGCTGGTTGCGTTCTGTCATGTGCTGCTTAGTGATAGGTGGCTCCGAATTGTTGCCCTGAGATCAATAGGATAAGATCGATAGGATAAGATTATATTTTCCTCGAACTAATCACTAGCTAGGCAACAGGCGCGAAACAAGCGCAGGCCCCGCTGTCCGCTTTTAACGACGTTGACGCGTCTGGGGACCAGGTCCATCGTGGCACACAGCAGTGACGACATGGGTCTTCTCCTTGTGCGTGTTCGATCGAACAAAGCCGAACTTGACGTCTTTCTGGCCCTTGTCCGTCGTTTCAATTGTCCAAACCACCGCACTCGTGCAGCCCGTCAAGGCCGAATCTTGGTGGGATGCGTAGTACTTGGCATGCACTTCATACTCGCCCTTGGCCGCATGTCCTTGACGGCCCAGATACACCTCAGGACCGTAGCCATCCGTGAAGTCACGGCTCAACAGAGATCCTTGGCCTCTCTTGTGGCTGTAGTAGACTTCTTCCGTAGAGGGCTCCACAACATGCAAGTCTACGTCGGTGTGGTCGGTATCCCACGCCAGCCACACCATCAATGCAGGCCGGAACGAAGCACAGCGCAAACCTGTACCTTCACCCTCCTTGTCTTTGTCCATTGCGTCCTCCTTTGGATCTTTCTTTGGGGGCTCTTCCTCTTTGCTCTGGAAAAACTTGTTCAACTCCTCGGTCGGCCATTCGGGAAGACTCAAAGACAACGCTTGGTTGGCTTCCCGGACCAACTCAGCCGCATAATGAAGCAGCACAAGCGCAGGCCATTCAATCTCCCGGAATCGACGGGCCCAGCAATGAGTCAATACATGAACTAAATGTTTCTGGACTTGCGCGATCTCCTCTTCAAGGGCGACTCCCTCTTGCGAAAAGGTTTTCCAAGCTTTGTAATACCCCGTCAACGCCATATCCATAAAGCTCTGTGGTTCCAACGGAGCCAACTCTTTCGCTTTCTCAAACAAACGAGCGGCAAGCTCCAGACCGTAATCTGTGTTGGCCGAGAGGAACAAATACCCAACACTGCGGAGCATTTGCACATCCTCAATTCCCGCTTCCAGACAGTTGGCGGCGATGCGGATGGCCACATCGGGGAGTTTGCCGTGTTGGATCAAGACATGAGCACTGTTGAGGAAAAAGGATGGCGACGCCACGCCACGACCACCGATGGACTCAAGCTCTTTCGCATACAGCTCCGTCCAGGCCTCTTTGCTGCCGTTGTTGCTCTGCAGAATGGCTTCGAGCTTTTCGATGTATTGCTTGGGATCGCTTGGGGCCGACACGACGCCAGAGGCACCCGCAGGCGGGGCTGGGCTCGAAACTGTTCCGGAGGGAGGCGGAACACTGCGAGAAAAGTCAAAGCCTGGACCTCCCTCGGGCTCTGGCGCGCTCAAGACGCATGAAGCAGACATAAAGCAGGCCGTTTCGTGAGGAGCAGCATCGTCTTCCTCATAGTCACCATCAAACATGCATTCTTCTTCTTCTTCTTCTTCTTCGTAGCAGGCGTCACAGTAGTCGTCACATTCGTCGTCGTCTTCCATCATGGCCATCACAGCCCCAGGGGCTGCAGCACACTGGGCCATTTGGCGTGGAGGAGCAGCGCACCGGTCTAGAGGCCTTGGGACATCCATTCCATATTCATCGTCCTCATCGCCTCCCACGTAACATTCTTCCGCTTCTTCTGCACACCTCAGGAAAGCGCGATTAGAAAAGCCGCCACCAGAAACAGCCTGAGCACCGACATATCCGGCCTCTTCATAGCAGTCGTCGGAATCTTCGTCGGCTCGTTTCTTCTTCATCTGGTGCTGCTTTGGTGTTTCGGTAAAGAATTGCTCGAGACGCTTCGCGAGGAGGACCACATCTTTCCTTTGCTGGTCATTCTTGAGACCACCAAGTTTTCCAGGTTGATACGACGTCTCGCTATGATTGCTGGGTTCTTCTTCCTTCTTGGGAGGCATTTCCTTTGCACAGGGGTGTCCGATGGGTGGCAAAATGCCATGCTCGGTGAACTGCTCCTTGGTATACATCATGAGGAGGCTGCTCTCGGGACTGCAGAACCCATATGACACAGCGAGCTCCTCGCGGACACGTTCCGTGGACAGACCGGATCGAACATCAAAAGCCTCTGCTTGGTGGTACAACTCTTCTGCGTAAATGTGACCAAGAACACGGGCTGCGGGGTCCGATGCCTCACCATCTTCTTTGGGCTGGAGGTAGAGTGTGGGACTGTCCGCGGTATTAGTAGACTCTCCTCCACGTAACTGAAAGTGGAAGCTTTGGTGTTGGTTGGGCCCCAGCTGGACGTTGGCCGTCAATTTGGTCACGGAATCACCAAGAATACCAGCGATCAAAAGACCATCTGCTGGGATGGGCTGGTTGAGCACTTGCAAACGATGATCCAGGGTGCAGCGAAATCCATCGTCCACTTCTTCGAGAAAGGCGTCTTCATCCTGATCCACCACGATGGAACGCAAGACGGGCTGCGGGTAGAGAATACCCTTTGAATAGTTCTTGTCCTTTTTGGCCAGCACCACGCCAGCGGCGTGGGGCGATGCTGCTGCAATGGTTTTGAGCGAGCGCATATTGATCTTGTCGGCCGGTGCAATGCAATGGACCGGAAAGCAAATATCGGTCGAGTTGTCAAACACGGGAATGCGGCCCAAGCTATCCACGCCATCTGTAACGACTAAAACAGCGTCCGCGTTGCCCTCCTGGGCCAATCGAGACACTAGAGGCGGCAGTGTGGAAAGATCCGTGCCTCCATCGTGCGGAATGGCCTTGACGGCAGCCAAGAGAGCATCCGCGCTGTCAAAGGATCCCAGCTTTTGAGGAGTGCCCATGCCAAATGTGTAAATGTCCACGGTTTTGGTGTTGGCATCGACCAACAAATCCTTCAAGCGGGAGCAGCAAACGTCCACCGCTTGGGCCGTCGAGGCAGAGGCATCCCACAGAATGGCGACACGGTCCAGTTTATTGCGGGTGCTGGTGCCCGCATCTTCTGTTGTCGTTGTTGATGGAGAGGGAATCTTGCAGACAAAGTGGGTCTTTCCAAACGACTCGCCCACAACGGCTCCAGCAGCCGCGGATTGGGTGATAAGTGCGTTGCTACGAGGAACTTTTTCGACGAGCATTTCCGTCTCGGCGCTCGCCTGCAAACTGTCGACCAGTTCCTGGGCGCTGCCAATGGTCAGAATCTCCAAACGGCAACGAGTAACTTGTTGAAAGGGCAATGGAGAAATTTCCATTTCAAAGCAGTTGGTTGCGGCGGAAGAATTGGACACGGCCGCGACGGCGCGTCCCTTCTCCTTCTCCTTGTAGACAACCGTCTTGGCCTTTTTCTTGGGAACGGCCGTGGCGGGGTACCATTGGCCATTGCGCTCGAGTTCAAATTTCTTGACCGTGGCGCCGACAGGCAGAGTCAACTGAAGCTTGGCAGCGACGTCCTTGTTGACTGCGTTGTTGGTTAGATGAAGTTCCACGCTGACATGAGACTTGTCGACAAAGGGGAGCGGATCCGTGGCACGAACCACCGCCTTGGTCACGGCAATGGGGAGCCTGGTCTTTTCGCCAAAGACTTGAACAGAGAGAGCGGATGCGGGGGAATCGGTTTTGTTGGTGGTCGCCATTGTCGAAGATTAATAGATAGATTCAGGTGGTGATTTGTTTCGAGAGAGCTTTTGGTGTGCTGTTGCTTTTGCGGATTGTGGCTGCTGCTTTTGCGGTTTGTGGCTGCTACACTTTGGGCTTTCGTTGATTGCTTTGTCCACGGAGGCGGGGTTGGGTGCACGACTGCAGCGTGGGTGAGTTTCTTTCAGACGTTGATACGACTGAGGACTCGACTGAGCCAAGTGAGTCCTCAGTCCAGTCACTCGATCGTGTGTCTGCATCCCACGTTCAATATCGTGGAATCCAAGGGGAGCGACACCGCATTGGCTCCATCAGAGAGCAGATCCTTGCTGCCTTGGTCGATTGCCATTTTCATTCAATCTTTCTTCAAAATGGCGGGCTGTGGTAGCTCTCAGTACAGTACTTGGCCACCAAAAAGGGTACACGAATTCATTGGCTACCGGTAGCTCCGTCGGAAAGAAATACCTAGTCGCAAGTTTTTCACTTTTAATACAACATTTTCACAAAGAAGCGATCATTTGTTGTGTGTCTATGATATACCGATGGCTCTGAACTTTACGTACTACTAAACAAACAAGCAGAACCATGAATCATGAATCGTCTCTTTCGAAAACTTAAAAGACACAAACCAGGTCATGTCGATCGTGTAAATTGCAGAGTTAGTTTTCTAAATTTAAGTTAGGCCATGCAAATCTCGTCACGGAACCCGACGAGCTCTGGATAGGGTGTCAAGATTTTGTCGAGCAACATTTGCCAGAGGGATCGTTCCTTGGAATACGGTTGTAGCAACATCCTGGCAATCTGGTTGTCATCATTGCAAGGTTTTGTCGTCTTATTATAATTACCCACCATCATTAGTATCTCGCAGGTTCCGTCACTGGTCAACCGAATGATGACACTATCGTCGCCGTTGTTGTTGTTGTCTTGCACGACTTGTACTTTGATTTGAAACACTTCGTTTTGATTCTTCATGGCTTGCTCCAACGTTTTTCGGAATCCGGAAATGGGGTAGAGGAACGGCACAAACAATTGTGGGGGGTTCTGGTTATAGCTGGATTGTAGGTAAAGATCCATGAGAACATTTCTCGAGTGCGGATTGAACAGGCACATGGGAAAGATCTGCAAAGGCGTTGTTGTCGCGGTCGCGTTCGTCGTGGTTGTCGTAGCCGTATTATTGTGACGAATGAGTGGTTGGAGGACATTTACAACTTGCGACGGAAAGGCAACGCGAGCATCCATGTACCCGACCAAGAGATTGATGGCGGTCGAGTTGGACTCGATGACTTTGACCAATCCACCACCGTACAAGAGATTCTCTCCGAGAATGGCGGTGGGCACCAAGTAGTGATTGCCTCCGTTGTAACTTCGTAGATTGGCGTACATGGTGGGTGCCCCCATTTGCTGGATTCCCAAAATGGGTCCCACAAAGGCGTAGAGGATAGACAGAATCATCATGAATGACATGACCAGGCGAGAATAGGTAGTACGTGAAGGAGAGGACGATGGTTGCTTTGTGGAAGATGTGACGCCATTGCCATTATTGGTACCGGCAGACTGGGCACCATTATTATGGGTGGACTTGGCAGTGGTAGAGATGTGGACGGGTGTCGTAGTAGTGGACGATGCCTTGACGACGAGTGTACTGTAAAAGACTCCCAACAATCCGGCAAAGAAGAAGCCCACATCAAAGGGGGCTTCTGTGGCCACTTGCCGTAGAGCAATCATTCCGAGGGAAATCATGGTGGCTCGAATCCAATAGGTAGCACAATTGGCAGAAACCATGGCCGCCTCAACCTCCTCCGAGTCAAAGAACCAAATGAAGCGAGACAGGCATTCGAGTGAGAATCCTCCGGCGGAATTGACGGGCATCATAAAGATGAGGATATGAAATGCCGTGGCCTTGACGACAGTCATGTTTCGAATCCAACGATCTCGAGTGACAGTTGCGGCAGAAGGATTGGTGTTGTGTCGTTTCTTGGCCCATGGAATGTAGAGCATACCCAGTCCCAGAATGAGTTCCACCAACAGGGTGAGATAGGGCGCTGCCTTGGCCACCGTAGTCCAATCCATAATGGCAACGAGCGAAGGCGGTGTGTACGTCACCAGCAGTTCTAGAATGAGAATGGTGCCACAGGAGGTTTCCGTGTTGAGAAAGCTTGCATTGAGTTTCCAGAAGGTAGCTGCCAAGTAGAAGACTCCAAATTGAGACTGTACCAAAGACAAAAAGTTGGATTCTAGTTGACTCAGAGTGGACATGACAATGTCCTGTGATGATGATAGTACCGGTAGTACTAGCAGGGGGAGAAACGAGAGAGTGAAGGAAGCATTGGTCAAGAGAGCCCAATACTCGTGATCCCAGACAGCCGGCATTCTCTCCACTCGAATAATGAGATCTAGAATGTGTGCCAGGACGGAGAGTTGTAGAATCAACACCACCGCCGTGATATCACCCGTGTCATTGGTACCGGTATACATACTATTAATACAAGTACTGGTATGTATACCAGCTAATACATATCTGTAGAGATGAAGCAGAATGGCAATGACCACGGGAATCAGCAAAGTTTCATCCCAGCAACTCACGGGTCTTGAATCCAATCCACCGTGGCCTTGCCCAAACAGTCTCGCATCCAGTACGGGCTGCAGCAGATGAAGACACCAAATACACACATACGCCAAGCAAGTCGTCGGCATTATGATATGTCAATTGCTGCTGTCAGTTGGGAATGCTGATCAAGACAGGCACAGTACTAGTATTCCCTGCCATTACACTATTCTGGTATTAATAGTCTCTCTAATATCCTCAGCCCTCTTCCTGTCCCCTTTCCCCTTCCTTGAGCAGTGTCCATGCGCCTGGATGCATTGGAAGCAGCTTCTTGGCCGTTTCTTCCGTTCTGATGGAAGAAGAAAATTGAATGACGTGCTTTTACCACGACTGAGTCGAGTGACGAGTGGAGTCAACTTATTGATTGAGCATGAGATGAGCGATGATCGAGTTGGGTCACTGGTGCTCTGGTGAGCTTCAAAAGGCGGTGTCGCATTGTCGTCGTCGTGGTCGTGGTCGTGGTCGTATCGTGGAGCGATCCTTTGCTTTGAGACCAGTAGCAAAAGCATCCTACCCTCCTCCTCCTTAGCAAAAGAAGATTCGGACACACTTTGATGTAGCAAGAGACTTCCTTTCATGAACGAATTCAATCATGGATTGTTGAAAGCTTCACCATCGTCGGAGCCAAGGCAAGAGGAAAGCAATCTGCGGATCGATCCAAGAGACACCTCTGCGTATATATGGAAGTCCCAGCAAGCATCGATCGAGATAGCGGATCGGCTGTCTGGACTACGTGAAAATGGCGAATGGAAAAAGACCTGACTTAAAAAGTGACTCGACTCGACTCGACTCAACAGCATTTTTGTAAAATTGTCAAAGTGGTTATGGTTGCTGCAGCACGGCACGAGACCGAATGACGAGAGCTTGATGACTTCCACAGATACGGTACCGGTACTCTTACTAGCTAGACTGTCACTCGGATGACACCGGTGCATGGAGGGGCCGATTCGATTCGATTCGATTCTATTGCTGCTACCAGTAGCTTCCTCTCAATTGCTGCGCTCTTCCAACGAATGCTGATCGAGACTGGTACCGGTACTGTACGTGTGCGGAGAACTAGCTAGCTAGCTAGCTAGTGGCCAGTCTCTCCTTTCTGTCCTCTTCCTGTCCTCTTTCCCCTTGTGCATCATCTACTGAAGGGTATCATGGGCACAGTTCCGGGCCGCCATCTTGTGGGAAGGAGAAAAATATGAGGAGAATAAGATCGACTCGCACTCAGCTTCGCAAGCTCGAGAAGTTCTGCACTTCCTCCTGCTTTCTCGGAATTGATGACCTTCAATAGTTCCTACCAGGTACTGAGTACCAGACTTTACGTGTTTTCTACTTGTACCGGTAGGTAGGAGCTGCCAAAGAACAAAGGTGGCGGAAGCTGACTCCATTCTTGCTTGATCCAGAGAGATCAAAATGACAATTGACCGTGGATTTCTCGCAAGGAAAGATGTGGATTTGGAGTTCGGAGACCTGGTTGCCGTTGAGCGGGTGACACCTGGTGTATCCATCCGGTGTGCATCTGGTTTCCACCTGGTTCACTCGTCCACTTATGTTCCCGAGCATGCCAACAAACGAAGACTTTCTGTGACTAGCATAGCAGAAGACCTTTTGTAATAATTTACAGTGACCGTAGATCGTCCAGGCGCAAGCACCTGTCCGGTGGGTTGATCCGTCAAATTCGTTGGGTGCGTGCATCAACGACGCCGCACCTGGCAACAAAATCAACTCGATCGATTGTTTCCTCCACATGCTCTCCCATAATTCTCCCAATTCTGTGTCACACAGTTAAAGGAGTCGTCTAGCTCTCTACAGTTGATTGTTGGAGTTTTGCTATTGACCAGTGTTGTTGGTTCCTTGTTCTCTTGTTCTCTTCTGTTTATTTCTTTCCATTCAAGCATGAAGACGAGTTTCATTCTTTGGTTCATTGGGGCCATGGGCTGTGCTAGCCCCACCTTGGCCAAAACAAACCTACTTGACATGGGCAACGACCTCAAAATCGAGAGTCTCAATGTTGCGGACCTAACACAGGTTACTGTGGAGCTACCAACTATCGATGACGGCAAGGTGAGAAACTGAATTTGCCGATCGTGCTCTTCAGTTGGTCCAACCTATTCGTTCTTGCAATTGACTTACAGACTCTTTTACTTAACTTGATTCTGTTATAATTCTGATGATACAGGGTGGCGTCCAGGAGTATTCTGCAGCCATCTATGAAGTGATGGAGGGCATTAATGATGTCAAGAAACTCTTGCAGGTGCAGAAGAGTGTGCCAGTGCACAAAGTCACCATGGAGGATCAAATGGATCAGTTTGCAAGTGTCACCATGATGCTCCAGAAAGCTGTCCAAGACCTCCAAAAGGCACCAGAGTCTGAGATGGCATCGGTTGAGATCCAGATGCTCATGCAAGAGGTTTCTCATGAGCTAGAAAATGCACAAAAAGTAGCTATTGATGTAAAGGAAGCCACCATCAAGGCCAGTGCCCAACGCCGCTTGACTGATGAGGGAGCTAGCTACAATGGTGGCACTGGTAGTCGTGGTGCAAGTTTGAGCTCAATGATTCCAAAGAAGTATCGCTCACATCCCAAGCTCCGTCAGCATTTCAAAATTCATGACAAGATTGTCAAGGGAGACCACACCCATTTAGACCACATGCTTGAACGCTTGACGCCACGCTCTACCATGCATGGCCGTAGACTTGGAAACAGCACTGCTGAAACCATGGAAGAGACCTGTGAAAAAACAGTTTCCTGTGTGAAAGAGTTCTCTCTCTATGACTTTGTTGCACACTTTTGTAAGACTTTCTGATTTCAAATTGATCTGCTTGCTTTTTCCACTAAACTAACAGTATTATCTCTCTGAACCTGTTGCAATATTTCTTTTCGACTCCTTCTTGCTTCCTTCCAGATGGTGACTATGTCAATGATGAGGGAAAGATTGATGAAAAAAAGGTGTCAAAACACATGTCAAAAAAAGTGTCTTCTTCTTTTGACTTCTTCACAAAGTTGGAGAGCGTCAGAGATGCAGTGAAGGCAATTGATGACAATGGCCTGAATCAGAGCAACTGTGTCACCTTTCTGAGAGAGATGCACCAGTAAGCGACATTGTTGCCTCTTGGGCATATATCCACTTCCGTGGCCCTCACCTCACCACCTTCCTCATCCATGGTCCAGATCTGAAATGGTAGAGCTAAAAGAAAAAACATACTATGAGCAGGTAAGTATACTGGTTATTAATGAGAAGCTTGGGAACCAAGATGAGTGTTTTGCAATGTTCTTGCTTCCTCTAGAGCTGACATGTTGCTTTTTCTGTTTGCAGTACAAAGGACCAACCTGGCGGGAGATTTGTTCAGCTGAGGGAACAGCAAAGTACATCAAGCTGGAAGACATCAAGGTTCATGTTGGGTCTAATGTGGCATACCACCTGTTCGAAGACATGTCTTTGTGTGCTCAAACTTTAGGAGATCCTGTCCTATTTGACAATAAAGGCCTAGCTCGTGTTCCCATAAAACCAAAAGTTAACTCAAATGCTGCTTCAGATTTGAAGAACTTTGACAAATATGGCCAGCCCAACTTTCCAATCCAGGTTGAATCATTCTTTGAGTTTGTAAGTATTATATCTTGGGCTGCCAGACCTGGGATGGGTTTCCATTTTGGTTTCAGCAACAGCTAACACAGAATGCTTTTGTAATAGGCAACAATTGACATCTTCAACAATGAGTACTTTGAGGGAAAATGCTACAACAAGACCAATGAATACTTCAAGGAAATCTTGGAAAATAGTAGCTTCAACATCACAAACACAGGTGCTCTGAAAAGGACTTACCCAGAAAAGATAGTTTGGGATTGCGATAATATGGGAAGCAAAGGTGTTCCGTCAGGCTATAACAACTGGGACTGCACTGTAGAAATTGGTGACAAGGACATTTGTGGGAAAGTGAGCTTTGTAAACAAGGTGCACCCTTCAACAGGTAAAGGAGACGGTACTGGAGTCAAGACAGAGGAGATCAAGAGCTCCATCTATGAGAAGGGGACCTTTAACATGGATGAAGCAGTTACCCTGCTGCTAGGCCCAAAGACCAGTGTTGGATTGGTGTGTGCATATGCAGAAACCAAGAAAGACACCCCTGGTTACTGCTGCCTGGATCATCCTTGGGAACGAGAGGGCGACCTATTTGGAACAAGTGTAAGGTATAACTTGACAGCCATGATTTGACACTTGTCGATTTGACTCTCATTGACTGCTTGTGCTTGTGTGCAGTTTGAATGCAGAGAAACTGAGTCAGCATGCAAACATGTGGCCCAGGGCCTTGGCGGGTTCTCAAAGGGTAAAGTTCCACGGGGCACACAAAGTCTTCTATGAATAATAGTCTCACTCCTAGTCTTTTGCACTCCCACAACTTGTCCAGAGTCCTGTGCTGTGTACTCTGGAACCTACTGCTCAAAACCCACGGACTGCAGTCTGTTGAAACAATGTGTTGCAGACGAAGTTCAATGGGCAAAAGAAAATGGCAAGACTACATACCAAGGTTTTTTGGAAACCGCCCCAGATTTGGATGACACAACAAGTGTTGATGAATGTGGAACATTCAAGGAGTATTTTGGGGCAGAATCAAGAGATCCGGATCTTTATGGAGTGTGCGAGGATATCCAGTATCTCAGGTGAGCATTTGTTGTACAACTTATTGCTGCCGTGGCGCTGGTTGCTGCTCAACATTCTAGTTTGTCATTGTGAAGGTACAATACAAATTTTGATGATCTCGACGCAAACAAACCTGCTGAATTGAAAGAGGTGCCAAAAGGAATAGGCCTGGAACAGCCAGGAGAACGTGAGTCGATCTATGCATCTCTGCACGCTTTGACTTCACCAATCTGTTTCTCTCACCCCGAATTATCCATAGCCCAAAATGGAGATGACTACTTCAACACCTGGATCCACAGCATTGTTTTACTTGAAACCATTGCCAGTACTTTTTCAAAGGTCTGGGAGGTAATCAAGCCTAGCAAAGTCACCTGTGAAACTTCACCTGTTGGGTTGGGATACTGCTTCGCTTTTTGGTATGTCTTGACAATCATTGCGTTTTTGGCCTATTTTGCTGGTGAGCAGGTAAGTTTGACCTGTTACGTTTGAAACCAATGCTCTTGTAGGCGTACACTGACAATGGGTGGGATTCCCAGGCCTTGGCATTAGCCAATTGGCAATATGGCAATGCACAGATTAGTGACAGGGACATGTATGTGATTTTGGAAAATACCAAGGTGCTCTTCAAGAATTTGGAAACTGTTGACAAAAATGCAGCTGACAGGGCAAAAGGCTTGCAAAATAACTTGAGTACAATTCAAACAGAAGTTCACACCAAGATGGATAAGGTCCAAACAGAGTTGGCAGCTGTCTACAAACTGATCAAAAGTAGCACTAGTGGGTCAAGGCGAAAGCTTGAAACTAGCCTTTTGGAGACTGACATGATTGAAGGCCTAGACGACATTGATACACAAGAAGTCTATGTCCCACCTTCTCTTGGTTGGGCAAAAGACCAGGTGACCGGTCAACTCAGTGTCCCTGGTAAAGTCTTTCAGTCTAGTGATCAAGCAATCCAGTTCCTTCACAACTCTCTCCATTTGCAAGAAGATGGGACCAAGCTGGATATCACAGAGGTTGATGTTTCAAGTTGTGAGGCAGTGTTTGAGGTCCTGCCTATTAAGGAAGAATCTGTGGGCAATACCGAGACAGTAAAAATTGCAGTGGACAGCAAAGCACCTGCTGTGAGCTGTGGCTTCTCCCTGGATTCCTCTGTTGCTTCTGTATCCAATCATGGCAAGACACTTTTGCTGTCTGAGCAGGGGGCTGGTGGTCTCTTGGATAGCAGCTTCTCTTACACTGTTCAGGTAATAGGATGGATTCTTTCTGGACTTTTGATCATCTTGTATTCATTCAGCTTGTGTGCTAACCTTTTGTACTGTGCTTCTTTGCTTCTTTTGCAGGATGACTGCTCCAAATCTGTTGATGTTGATGTAACCGTTGTGACCAACCAATGGGACGATAAGACCAGCTGTGTTTTGGTGGAATCAGATTCCAACCAGGCCAAGATCCTGATTGCCCCCAAAACGTAAGAGTATTGTCATGGAGTGCCTTTCACAATACGCTTTTAAGTATAAGAGAAAATCTGACGACTCCACCCTCTTTTCCATAGGTGCAAGAGCCGGGACAGCCTTTGCTACTCCAGCTCTGGTACCAGTGAGCGCTTGTATGAGATCCATGTTACTGCAACTGATGCTTCTGGGTTGGTGGGAAGAGACACCTGCCACATTGCTGTGTTGCCGTCTGATGGTGTTGAGCACAAAGAGGCACTTTCCAGCATGAAGACATCTGTCCGTGGTGCTGGCTCTGACAAAGTAGCTGAGCTCCTTGCCTTGCCTGCCGCTGCAGAGAAATTCAAGGTAGGCAGTCTCCAGGTTACAAAGGAAGGAGAGAGCTTCTGAAATGCTCTGTACGAGTTCTAGAGATGTAGTACCAGAAGATCTCGAGGCAATGCCCAAATGGCAACATGATGAAAATGAAACAGAAGATGAAAAAAGAACCCACCCTTCCATTGCCAGCCAGCAGGGCAATACATGTTTGGGATAAATCCATGATGAGATGGGATGCCAAGTTGAAAGAGCAAGTTGGCGTTGGCAAGCCCCCGTTGTTTGGTGGTTAACCTCGGCAGCCAGGCTGCCAGAGCCCTCAACCCCTTTAATTGTTTTTCCTGCTACGGTGGTCCCTGCAGGTATAAGGGTAGGGTTACAATACAAATAAGTCAGCAAAAACTAAATAAGTATCCTAGAATGCTGCTTTTAAACCAGCTAAAGCTATTTACATGCATCCTATTAGGGGGATATGCTTCTACCAGGAAAAGCTCTAAAGCCAGGGAAAGCTATATAACTAGTATTCTAGCTAGCTAGGGGAATCTGCTTCTAGCTTGCTATGGGAATCTGCTTCTAGCTAGGGGATCTGCTTCTAGCTAGCTAAGCGCAAGTTAAGCACTAGCTAAGCACTACTGTACAGGTATCTGCTTCTAGCTAGCTAGCTAATATGGGTATCTGCTTCTACATAGAAACCTTTCTGCCGAGGTTACACAGCTCCGCTGGCTTAAAATTACAGAGTAGCAAAAAAGATTGAATGTATTCACTTTGTTTGACATAGCCCTGTCATGGCATGAGTATAGCCATGCGAACAAAGATGACTATACGTGTTAGCTAGGATGAACCAAGAGATCTGCAGCAAGAGAATCTGAAGAAACAACCTACTTGTAGTAGGCGCTGTTGCCAGTGCTAATGCCAAGAATGATGCATGGCAGTGAACAACTAATACATGTTCCCAAGTTAGGAATTCGTGCGGTTCGGATGGGTTGATGCTCCATGGATGGGGCGTTCAATCCGAGAACGAAGCTAACTCCACCTCTATCTTTGCGAGCTCGTCCTCCAGTTTGCATGGTGATCTTGGCCTGAGCCACGGCAGCCTTTTTACCGCACATGCTCTGTAGACGACCCCCAATCTAGCCGAAGTCGCGCCCTTTCTGGTCACCCAAAGCTTCCGACCGCCGCCGCAGTCTTCACAAGAGCAGTAATTGTGATGAATGTTGATGGCATTTGACAGGTCAGCCTGTTTGCCAGTCACTTCGTCAATGATCTGAAGCAGGATCTTCAACATTACGCGATGATTTTGAAAGGCATAGCGCTGAGACCACTCCATATCTGTGAGATAGTCCTACCCTTCTAGGCTGTCGATCTCAACGTAGTTCATGCCTTTGAGAGCCTGGGTGTCGATTCCTCTGAGTTCCAACTGCTTCTGGGCAACACCGTTGTGGTGCGTTGCAACAGTGTTGCCAATGTTGCGAGATCCAGAATGAAGCATCGCCCAGATCTGACCTGTTTCTTTCTCGTGGACGACCTCCAGAAATGATTGCCTGCATGCATGCATGCACGGAAAGCAAGCAAAAGGGACAATCGGGCTTAGACAATGACAAGGATGACTTCACTGCCGTATGGTCCTACTAGTTCGGTGGGGGCAAAAGCGGATCCACCAGTGCGGATAACTTACCGCCTCCAAGAGTTCCCAGTTGATGAGTGACCTTAGGTGCCAGTAAACGTTCTTTTAGAAAATCGGTGGGCTCGACGTCAGCTGTGATCTCGTCAAGGACTCGCATCGTTCAGGTGGAATGGTGGAATGCTGATTAAGTCCAGTGGGAATGCGTTCCTTTATCTTTTGTTGGATCTCATTCAATATCGTACCAACTCCAACCGCATTAGGGCAAACATACTTGTTTGCTGGCGAATACCGTTCCGACCGTGACACCTTTTCCCATGTGTCCATCTGCCATGATGCTGACATGATCGACGGGCACTGGACTTTCCGCCAATCCAATCGAATCGACTGTTTGAGCGCAGAAGTCTCGAGCTTGTCCGGGTAGATATGAAGGGGAACTCCTCGCGTTTGAATGATCCTGGGTAAGAACGACGCCGTTGCCGCCTTGTCGTTGTTGTCTCCATCATTGCCATTGGTACTTGCGTAAAGCGCGGGCTTCTTCTTCGAGTTGACTTTTGTGCATGCAATCATGCAGAGAACTGATCCTCAGTGCCCCCGAGACTGCCGTGTTTGTGACGGCGTTTCGAACAACAAACGCATGGGCGCCTTGAGCCAGGATCAAGAAATGTAGCAAAGCTCTAATCCTAACCTCTTTCTTGCACCGCTTACGCTTTGCGTTGACGCCGGTGCAAGGTGCAAGGTCACCACCACTTCGACGCTTGTAAGATACTTATATCTGATGATGGTCTCAAAGGAAGGGTACTGTATGTTGAAGTAGACGGTCGTCTGGTCTTCAAAAGACACCATGGAGCATGGAGACAGCACTGGAACAGAACGTTCGATGAAAGTCAACAGGTCAACGACGCAACGACGCAACAACGACGACGACGGTGGTGGCTGCATGCTCGATGCTCGATCGTGGTGTCAGCTTGTCGAAGAAACAACAAAGAAAGACTAGTCGCAATCTACAATCTACAATTGTACTCCCTTTACGGTAGTGGCCGTCAGAAGTTGCTGCTCAGGAGGAGCTAATAACACCATAACACCAGGACAACCGGACCGACGCACCGTATTGGCAAGGAGGCCGTGAACCATCCAGAGTACTCGTACCGGTAGCTTGATATTAGCATCCTACGGGTAGATGGGATCCCACACGACAACTCAGATTTTCGGGTTCATCTATCGTACGTATGATGCAGATCCTTAACCCAAGATGGCGTAGACCGTTTGCTTTGCCACACACTTGTTGTTGCGGTTTCGGTTGCCGCTCTTTTGGTGACATCTTCGCTTGTTCCAGCATATACATGTAACGAACTTGAAGCAGTACTGGTACAAAAGTAGCAGGTTTTGATCTAGGGCTGACTGGCATGTCCTTGCTGGGCAAGTGGATCTCGTCTAGCTATTGCTAACACCCGAGCCTCGGCTCGTGGGTCGTCCTCAAGCACTTCTTGCTTGTTGCTGTTGTTCCGAAAGGCTCTGAAATGATACTACACTACGGTACAGCCTGTTTTGATTTATGCTATTGCTCTTATAATCTATTGTTCAGATATGTAGTACTTTCAATTCACAAGTCGATCCTTCGTCGCTTTCACTTCGCATTCCCTCGGGTGAATATCTGGTTCGCGCTCCTTGTATCGGGTGCTCCGTGAGGTTGTACGCTATTTAGTTGCCGGGCCTGGACCACCTGCGAACGGGAGCTGGCTCGCAGCCTCCCAAGAAAGCAGTTGGCTGATCCCAGGAGGAGCTCTTGCTGGTGCGCTTAGGCTCAGTGTCATCGTCCTTGGGAAGTGGGGTCCACTTCTTGACGGCCTTGGGCTCGCATCCTCCAATGAAACCGTCCTCATGGTACAGGCTGTTGCGCTTGGGTGCTGGCTCATCATCATCAGCATACATGTTCTTGGGTGGAGTCCAGCGTTTGATGGGTGCGGGCTCCGAGCCAGGCAGGTATCCTTGCTCTGGGTAGAGGCTAATGCGCTTTGGTTTTTCCTCGGCCTCTTCCTTCTTGGGTGGCGTCCAGCGCTTGATGGGTGCGGGCTCCGAGCCTGGGAGGTAATCATCCAAAGCATATGCCATGCTCTTGGGCTTCTCCTCCGCTTCCGTGTCTTGCTTCTTCTTCTTGTTCCAGGACTTGCGACGGACCACAGGCTCGGCGTCTTCCTCGTCGGCAGTGAAGGAATGATTGAAAAATTCGGTGCCGCTCAAGTCCAAAGCACCACTGACGGAAGAGTTTGCAGTCTTTTCTGTGCTATCCTCCATGGGCTTGCTGTAGGCATCGAGGCCCTTGCTGCAGGATCCTCCCATAAAGTCCACGGGCTTCTTGGCAGGCTTGAGGGCCAAGGACTCGAGGGAAAGTTCTCCCTCCTTGGCATGTACCCAACTGGCACGCAACTTGGTTCGAGGGGCTTTAGTAGTTTGGGATCCACATCCTCCCAAGAAGGCATCGGGGGCGGCGTAACTGGTAGTGGCTGTCTTGATCATTTTGGAATGGGCGGTTGGGTGGTTACAAACTGGTTGGTTTGGTGGCAGTGTTATTGTTGTTTTGTTTTGCTTGCTTGCTTTGTGTTTAGCTTTTGTGCTTTTTGAGATTGTGAGAACGAGAGATGATCGAACCAAGAAAAATGAGGCGTCAACATCACAAATCGCGTCAAGACACCACAAGATGAACATCACGATGGCGGCAAGATGGATGAGCGACCAAAATGAGACAGTCAGGTTTTGGAGGCACCGCTCGACAGCAAAAAGAGGCAAAATGTGAGACGCCATGAAAGCTGATCTTGGCAGGGATCTCGGGGCAAATAAAGATTTAGAGCATCCAGGAACCAATCAAGGCGAAATAGTCGGGAGTTCCGATTTTAAATAAAGCAGCCGCGCTGTAATGTGTAAACCGGGCGCACCTGGTACCATAGGCCCTCAAATTTTCCAAACATTATGACTCGGACCGATTTTGGACGTGCGAGTTCAGTTGTGGCCTCCAGATAATTCATGCAACCAAACAGAGAAGAGCCAGACGCACTGTAGCTTGCCTAATTGGACATTTATTTCTTCTACCAATTAGTCTAATAACTAACTATCGGGAACTGAATGGCATGGAACAACGACCCGCAACAAATACTAAATAGATACGTTGAGTACCTTTACCGTACAATTAGGTAGTACGGTACACCCCGTTTGTCATTCCATGGTTGTCCGGTGGAAAGCGTGTCTTGGAAACGGGAATCCGTGCTCCTGCTCCCACAAGAGTGACTCCATTCCTCAGGACAATGGTATCCGTAGAGGCTGGGCGCACAGTACAGTATATCCGATTGGCTGGGGATTGGACAAGGACAGCAGGTCTACCTGCCAAGGGGTTATTTAAAAAAAAAATGGAACACAAATAAATGACGACTGGCTGGCTGTGTGAGGAGCACAGGCGATGATCTACTCCATACGATGCCATACTAGGAAACGGAGAGAGAGACAGCGCCCAGTTGCTTGCTTCACACTGGCAGCAACACGAGAGTGGGTGCCAGCGTGCCAGCACACATTGCTTTCTGACAAAGAAATGAGACAAAAAGCAAGATGAAAACAAGAACGTCGAACCCACCCATGCATGCATGGATCCATTGCTTGCCAATGCCCAGCCGAGATGGGGTAAGTCGAAAGGGCAAAGTTGATGTTGGGATGAAACAAGGTGGCGACCCGAAGGAACACGCCAGCCGCGAACAATCACAGCAATAAGCTTGGTTTGTACGTGATTAATTATAATTGATACATTAGTTTTTTTATAAAAAAGTAGAGTTACTTCCTTTTTGCAAGCTATGGTACTGTATGGTTCAGAGACTGAGTGACTTGACTCGTTCTTCGAGCGCCAATAGCTAGCTACTAGCAGGCAGCTTGTGGAGCATCTGTATAGCAGTGGCTTGCTGGCCTGGATGACGGGCGGAGGTTCGGTAGGTGTGTTACATGGATGCATAAGGATAAGGCTCCATCTGATCGATCGATTGGTTGTCCTGGAGGTACCTACTGGTAGCCAGCAGGCAAGACACTAGTCAGTTAGTGCAAGTGTGAAGTGTGGCAGTTTGGTGGTACCGCTATGGTAGACTCCTTAGCTGCTCTTGCTGCTGTCATTGGATAGCCTGGTTCCGTTGGATCGATTGGTCTTGGAGGACAAGTCAGTAATCGAAGATCGCTTGTTGCTGCTAGCTTGCTTCTTCTTCTTGGCCTTCTTTTGCTGCTTCTCTTGTTGCTCGAGTTCGTGGTGTTCCATCTTGAGCATGGCCAGAGTCAGTTCATCCAGGCCATTGTCCAGACAACCAAATCCGTCATCGTCCGTGGAAGGAGCTTGGATAAAGATTACCTTGGGGATCATAGTGATGTTTTGTATTGTAGAGAGAGTTGGTTGATTGATTGATTGATTAATTCGAGTTTCTTGTGGCGAAGAACGAAAATTGTGAGAACTAGTCTAATCTATTTATTTCTGAACTGCGAGCTGTTTTCTTCATTCAGTTTTGAGGGTTTGACCATCAAAACACCACCAACTCAGCAAGGGTATGACGTACACCTCCTCTGCCCCTTCCACATTTATTGTCAATGCTTGACAGCTTGATGGTGGTAAGAACTTCAATCAATAGATCGCTGACGTTTCTTGGTTTTGTAGTCTTCGAGCTTCTATGTGACCCGCCGTGTGACCTTACATTATTGACTCGTTATTGTTTCTGGTAAGTTTCTATTGAATCAAGCTCTGACGTGGGAGAACTCTCTTATGAACTGTTCAATAATTGTGCTTGAGAAAAGAATCTGGAGGATGACTCCAGTTAACTTCGAATCTTGACATCCGAGCATAAGACTGATACAGTAGTGACTGATGATGAAGCGGTGCTGACTGTGCTGACAGCCGCATTGATTAGCTACCGACTGCTTTCGTGGCGGTTGCCACGTTGCGCTTTTCGGCATGATAGCTCTTTGATGCAGCTACCGGTACCGGTACCGGTACATTTCCAGCACAAGCTTCAACAGCAAGCATGGTACATGTGGTGGTTGTTGGCCAGTAGTCTAGTCAGCTTGTCAGGTTGGAAAGTAGAGTCCTTGGGAGAATATTGGGAACAGCTGGGCAGCGGGCGGCTTTCCAGGCCTCGGTGTCTCGCTTGGGGTACTATCTACTAGGGCTAGCAAAAACACAATGTATCAGCGGCATGCAGCACCTGTCCAACTAAAACAAGAATTTGCTAAGCAGCAGAGCCAACATCTAGCTAGCTAGTAGATGCAATAAAACTTGCAGGCATCTTTTCCGGTTGTTCAGCTGACAAGCGAACTGGGGTTCATTGAAGTGGTTCTTTCATGGAAGTTTGGGTGATCGCTTCATGAACTAGGTTCTAGGTTCACGAAACTAGTAACACAAATAGTGAGCTTTCCACACCTATTTGGTAAATGAGCAATCTTCATCACAAATATGATGCAACAACTCATGTTTGGCTACCGTAGTAAGCAATGCTTTCCCTGGATTGATGCTTGCCTTGATTGAATCGAATCCAATCGATCATTCTGAGCACTCAAAACACAAGACTGGGTGATGGAAGATTCAATCAAATTCAGTCTAGACTGGCTAGTGCTACGGACGGTGAAGCTTGAAGAGCTAGCTGGCTAGCTAGCTAGAGTACCGGTAGCAGTGAGTCGGTACGACTGTAGTCGAAAAATCGAAAGGAACAAAGGAACACCAAAGTTTTCCGCCTTGCGATTCGATTGACATTCAATCGATCCCAGCTGTTCCGAAGTTCCGACTGCAAGTGGCCAGAATTATTGAAGATTCGGATGATCCGTATTCAATCGAAGAAAGATCAATCGACTGAGATTCTGCCTACCAAATCTACCCCGGTACCGGTACTGCCTGCCCGTAGTCCACTCCTCCTAGCCAAGACTTCCATCAGACCGCTCTGGCTAGCACTGTTCTGATTGATTTCTGTCCTTGATGGAACCTTCTTTTTTTTTTAAATAGCAGAGCTTTTTGGAAGCTGCTTGGGACTTGGGACTTGGGACAGAGTACCAGTACCGAGTACGGCAAGAGTTCTAGCAACGTGCTTGCTACCGGTACACTCGCTAGCCAGAGTAAGAGTTCCTTGGGCAGTGGCGCTTGAGGGGGCCACTTGAGCCGGCTACTAGCTAGCTAGTACAATGATGAAACACAAGAATTAAAACATTGGCTCTGCACTCCTTGCTCAACAATTGATAGCTACAGTACTGATAGCTTCTCTGATACCGGTAGCTATCAACGGATTGCTTGGCTTAGGTCGCTTCGGACTTTTTCTTAGGCGTCTGCTTGCCTTCTGAAACAGGCCTCCCCAAGCCAAGAGCTTTCTTGGGAGATCTGTGTGGAAGAATGTTGTTGTGGATTGGCAGTTGGCTGGTGTCATCCACAAGCTCATCCACATCTCACTGTAGGTCAGTATCAGAAACTGACTTCTGATCAGGAGTCGAGTCAGGCCAACAAAAACCGGCTTCATAAATCATATTGGGTCATCAAGAATGTTGTAAAAGCTTCTTCTTGTACGGTGGCAGGTCTTTGCAGAGAGAAAGAAGTCACTACTCCTCCGAGTAAGTTTCTGTTTAGGGTTTAGGACTACGAGTACGAATGATCGAATAATCTAAAAGAGTCAATGAGTCTACTGTAGCTAGCTAGTACTAGCTAGTACGGAGACATAGCTTTCTTCTCAATTATGCCACACAATTCAGCCGTTCAACCATCATAGCAAAGGTACTAGTAGGTCTACTCCAGTGGAACGGTACCTACTACCTTCCGGTACCATGGTACCAGTACTTTTAAAAGTACCGTACTTCTCGTGCAGTAATGTTTACTATTATTTTAAAATACTCCAGTTGGTTTTAGAAGTTTTTAAGACCACAGTGTCATACAAGCTGTCACGAAACACCAGCACACTAGACTGGCAGCACAGGTTTGTTAAAGCCAGCTTTTACAAGAAGACTATAAGGTTTATTCTCCCTGTTCCCAAAAACCATGACTACAGTTCATGGATGCCTGCATTGACGGACACTGGAGAAATAACTGTGAATATTAGAGTAGAGAGATCGGATGCTTGTGTCTGGACATCAAACCAGGGCAAATGAGATTTAAAAGGGATGAACGGAAACATGGATGAACGGAAACAGTGAATTGTTACCATCGTTCCTTTTACTGGTATTCGTATGCTGTTGTGCCGGTGGTCCAGTTCCTACCCGCGCCTTTGGCCACCATCGCTTGGAAACTCTCATAAATTCTCGCTCTACTATTAATAGCTTTGTACCGCGTGACAGTAGCTATTGTACTAGCTACCATGCCCAGTCAAATTGAATATTTCCTGGAGGAACATTTTCAGATTGAGAACATTACCACCATGAGCACCACCGACGAGAACAACAGCATCGCTAGTAGCCATGGCACTACTTACATTTTTGTGAATGACAATGCTAGATCGCATTCGCCTCTGCTACCCCACTTACGTCCCTGCACAGGCAGTGACTGCAATGGGAATCACAATGAGGCTCCCGAGTTTTTCCACGATAGCGTCAACAGCTTTGACGATGATGATGACGACGACGACGATGACGAAGAAGAGCTCTTTTGGTGGGATGAAAGTGTGGGCGGTGGTAGCAGTAGTACACTTGGCGACAGTTTCGGCTATGATTCGAGCACGAGCACCTTGATCACTTCCAACGTTACGGCATGTACTACGAGTACTAGTAGGAGCACGACGAGCGACAAGTACGTGGCATCTGTAGAACGCGAAGAGCAACCCGTCGATTCCGACCTCGATCAGACGTGTCATGTCACCATCAATCGATGGGGTGATACCGGTACATGTACGAATGATACCACTAGTACATGTACTGGTAGAACTACAATGCCATGTACGAGTGTGTTGCCACGAAAACCAGCACCCCCACAACCTCCTCGCAAGACGCAGGATCCCCCCGTCTTGCCGTGTCGCTCCCATTCCCCCGAACAGCTCGTCAAGAACAATCGCAAGGCACTTCGGTCCCTCAAGGATAACCCACTCAAGGCGGTGCGACGAAAGAATAGCAGTGATCAGCCATTTCTATTCCTCAATGCAGGTGCGGCTCCTGCCATTCCGTCACTGCCCAATCGATTGTTCGTTAGCAAGAGCGCTTAGCTGGCTAGCTACGACATCAAGCAGCGAGAGGACGCAGGTAAAACCATTTGTAACACTTACTACTACTATTAGAGAAACATTACTAGCTACACAGCGAATGCTCAACAGCCACAGACTTAGTTAGCAGTATGGTAGTAATCATTCTTTCATTCATTCGGTCAGTCACATCACATCACATCACATCACATCACTGCCAGGCAGACCAAACAGACAGACGCAAAGACCTACCTGCACAGCACAAGCAGAAAGCCCCAGAGGACTTGGTCGCATCCAGCAAGGTCACCAGCCATGCCAGTGGCCATGATATCCAGAACACAAGCCTCCTTCTCTCCTCTCATCATTCCTCTAATATTCTTCTCCTTCTTCTTTGACAAGCAACGCTAAAATAAATGAGCTTGAGACCATGGGTACCATTGCTTGGCCTGAACAGTTTGTTTTGGGTCCACTCTCCAAATAATAATTCATTGGGTATGGCACACTCGACTCGACCTTGTGGCTTGGCTGATATTAATAGTGTCATTCCGCTCTGATGGCTTTTCTAAGATTGCCTACTAAACGCGAAACAAACCACAAATGCCCAAGTGCCAGAATAGCAGCAGTGCACATGCTCAATTAATTGTATCATAGCCGCAGGATCTATATATATAATACGTGTTGGTGTAAGAGATGATACTGACAAGGGGACGTCGGCATGCCTTGAGTGTGTTGGTTGGATTCACAATGGGGCTTTTGTTTCGTAGGGACTGGGAAATTCTCGACAAGGTTTCGCCCTCCTTACACTTGGTTGACCAAGAGATCCACGGTATAGATACCGGTACCGGTACCGGTATAGATACCAACAACAGGACTGGTACCAACAGTACTGGTACCAACAGCACACATAACAAAGTGGATAAAGAGGGCAAAGTGGCTTTGCTGTTTCTGGTGAACGATGAGATTCAACACGAAGGTTTATGGAAGCAATGGCTTTCTAGTAGTGGTGCCAGTAGTGGTACCAGTACCGGTACCAGTACTGGCAGTAACTATTCTTCCAAGATTTCCATCTACATTCATACCAAGCAGACTAAGGAACTCCTTACGAGAGATCCGTTCTTTGCTTCTCGAGTGATTCCATCTGTTCCTTCTCAGCACATGGCCAACCTGGTAGATGGCATGATGCAACTCTTGATGTATGCTTACTGGAGTGATCAAAGCAACCTCCAATTTG